AACAGTGCTCTATTTATACTAACCGATCAACTTGTTAGAACATCGGAAAACAAAAGGAAAGAAGGCTGAATAAAATCAGCTGATCACTGAAAACAAATCTGGATAAATTCAGTTTTAAAGTTCATATGTTAAACTAAATAACTCAAAATTAAATGTCAGTCAAGCAAGGAAATTTACAAAGAAAGCTGTGTAAAAGAATTTTAGTTTCCTTTGCGCAGGATCCCTCAAAATGTTAAAACTAAAAACTACGAACGGTTGGTATTTGAACAGGCGAAAGGTCTAGTTATTCAGTGACTAAGCTGTATATCTATGTCTAGAAAATTCAATTTCGAGGGTACATATAATATGCGTACAGAAATTTCCTGAGGCACACTGTTCCAATAATTATATACAGGAGCAGGAGCCTATGACATGAGTAAACAATCTCGGTTACAATGTTTGTACAGAGAATAAAGATTCCTGTTTGCACAGACTTAAATAAAAACTTATTCAAAACAGTTGAAATCCTATTTTATAATTTTGTAGTCCACGCGCCGTGAAATAAATTGAAAACCCAATGAAATCTACATTTTCCCTCTAACAACGGTAAAACGCTTGTGTGTGACAAATGTGACAGGGCTATTAATTGCGAGTTTGTCGTGAACTTAACATTAATGTTTTCTGGTCTTTTAAAAAAGGATCTGTTTGACGGAAAGTTTTTTCAAACAAAATTTGTCACACAAGGTTTGCCTTCTTCTTTCCTGTTCCGTCCTGTTGCACATTCCCAACACATTGAGTCTCATCTCAGCAAGAAACAACCGCAAGTGAAAATTCTTATAGCGTTTCTCTTCAGTCAACCTCATTTTATAGATGCTCAGGGTCGTAACAAGGTATATGGGATCAGGGATCAACGGCAAAAAAATGGGGTGGGATCAGGAATCACAGCGCCGGGAACTGGGATCACAAGGCATGGGATCAGGATCAGTGGTACTGTAAAGGGATCAGGGATCCGGTTTTCCGACATAACAACAAAGACCGCGCAATTCTGAAATGAGTCTTAATTGAAGCGACCTGCAACCATTTAAAATTCAGTTGTATTTTTGCTGTAACATTTCGATCCGGTACTAAACTGTGTGCAATCCGATCTGCTGGACTACCTTGACCGCAAAACGTAATATATACTTAATTTGAATTTAAAGATATTTATCTTATTTAGCCTTAATTTTCTAGCACATAACTAACTCTCTGCTATTTGACCTGTTGACTCAGTTTGTTGGTTTTATAAATCAAATCCTTTGACTGGTATTTTGCACTTTGTAGCGGAGCTCTCGCAGTGGAACACCATGGGTAACAAAATTTGGTAAACTATCCATCCGAGAAAATTTGGTTATGACGTAGCGTACGCCCGCCGGCCCGCCCACCCGTCCGTACACGCAATTCATGTAAGCTGATGTCAAATATCACACTAGATCTTCCACAACTTGACTAGCCTTTCAGTTTTGTAAGCCATCCGTATGAGTACGATTAGATTGACAGCTGTCAAAATCAGACATCCGCTGACAATTATCACATGACCATCTCGCGGGCTCAGATGAAAGACCAGTCGTTTTGCCCCTACATATAAGATGATATAATATGTCACACTTATCAATTCAACATAAAAACGAAACTACGCCGGGCAGGGCTGTCAGTCGGCTGACAGTCGTTTAAAGTTATATTGGCAAGCCAAATTAAGGTCAATTGACAGCTGTCAAAATGGGACATGTGCAGACCACTATCAGAAAACTAATAACGTGGGCTCAGGTTCGCTCAGGTACACGATCTGGCATTTTCCACTACAAGCCGGACGGATATGTCTTACTCATACTCGTAGTCTGTTAATTCGAATATTCACCATTCTAATGAAGGTTAATTGACAGCTGTCAAACTAGAGTATACGCTGACCATCATCACCTGACTGTATCGCGAGCTCATTTTTCTATCCATTGAGGTCACGTAGTTTTTAAAGTTTTCTACTGATATTTTATTTGATCACGGCCTCAATTCGAAGCACAATAGCTTAGAAAATCTATCCAGCCTAGAAAATTCGGTGATCACTTGACCGTATACCGACCACCCGACCTTCCGTCCGTCCGCACCACAAGCATACCAATGTTTAATCTCACACTTTCTAGCTAGTATGGGAACCTACAACCTGATATTGTACACCTATGTTTTGATTAATTGACAGCTGTTAAAATACTGTTTCTGCTGACCAGTATCGACTGACCGTATCGCGAGCTCAGGTATCGACCCACTGAGTTCGAGTGTTTTTTGAAGTTATCCGCTGACAAGTTGCTACTTTTCTAACGATCGCACGCTCAAGTTCAATTTTTTTAAAATGTATATAAAATAAATCGTGTTCATGAGTCGCACTTTTAAAAAGTTGCTGCTTTTCAAATGATCGCAGGCTCAAGTTCAATTTTTTTAAAATGCATATGAAATAACTCGTGTTCATGAGCCTCACTTTTAACATTTTGAT